AAGTTTAGAAGCACCTTATATTTCAGTTAAAATAAGTGCAAGTAGGTAGGAATTTAAACTATACGCGTGTGTGTGTTTGTGTGTATATAAAGAGGGCTACTTTTAATATCGCTCATTTTAATATCAAAAATTTAGGTTATCTTTATAGCAGTATTATATTTTCAATTCAAAATTAGTACTGCATTTGTGATTATAATAAAATGTATGTATATAGAGTACTCACTCATTTTCTTTCACTATTATTTCGTGACTTTCTTCATTAATAATAAATGCACTTTGTTCATTCATATTCAAAACATTTTATACACAAACACCGTGGCGAAGACTGCCGAAAAAAAAAACGACGTTAGACAATGCACGGCCTTCAAGCCACACATCCGTGCCCGTCGTAGTGGGGGAGCGTGAGGTTTTTTCGTTACGGCGGAATAAATTTCTGGATTCGGTCCCCACGCTCAAGGCCCGCGATAGAAGCTATTCAATAGCTTAAAAACATGAAATAAATATGCAAACTATAAAAAAAATGACAAAATACGTTATAATAATTTAAGAAAGTGACCCTTTAGTTTACACCTAATGTTATTTTTAGTGATATTGTCCACTAATTCTGATGGCAAGTTATTGATAAGCCGAGGTATTAAGTAGCTACATGTTCTCTTACCGTACGCATTGCTAGCACGCGGCTCGTTGAGACGGTTTTTAGAAATTGCTCGAGTGTTTACAGAATGCTCAATCGGGATTTTTAGCGATTCATTAAAAAATTGTTCTTTTAATAAAATATTTTGTACTTGTATATGTATTGGTAAAATTTTACAATGTTTAAAGACACCATTAACGTCATCCCTGAATTTATTTTTTATTTTATTTGGAACTATAGTATTGAGTATTCTTACTTGTAAACTATGGATCTGGTCAAGATATGTTTTGTAAGTTCGGCCATAGCTACTTAGCCCGTATCTACATCTATTATCTCTACACTCACTATGCAAAACACAGCAACATTATATTCTTACTTCATGCAGGTCTTCCCTGATCGAGCCTACACATTAAAGTTACAGTTATAATACAGCTGAAGAGTTGTTTTATTATATATCGATGTTTTTTAAACTTTAGCCTCACAAATAATCAGAAAGTTCATCTGATCATCACTTATGCAATTTAACTGTATTATGAGATATTTTTAAATTAACTGCAGGTACTATTGGTATTTAAATTGAATAATCTATAACAATATAATTAATTTTCCAGTAAATATAATATACAAAACTAGTGAACGTATAATTATATCGACAATTATCGAGAAATTACTGTAGTGTACATTATTTGTTATTACAATGTAAACTATTTTCATTTTAATGTGTTCGGTAATCATTGTATTTATTGTATTTTCCAAGGCAGCAAGTAATGGAGAATTAATAGATTCACGCATAACTGGTTTTATTACGAGACTAGTTTTAGTCGTGTTTTCCTGTAGGGCTTTAAGTTAAATCGCCCTCATCGCTTTATTAACGTATTTGTTAGATAAAACCTATCCTGATTATACAATTTAATTTAAATTTAACTGCATTTATGTACAAACAAGTACCTTATGTATTTGAGCAAGCTGCTTAAGTTGATGTTTACATACAACTCACTTGTTATGGTCAACCATTGATAATACCTATCGAGATTGAAATTCAGTCAGCAATAATCGACTGTAATAACCCCATTTAAGGTTGAATATATTGAGTATGCAAAATATAAACATTACTTTTGCCTCGCGGCTGAAACTGGTGGTCTGCCAACTGCAAGATTTTTGTTTGTTTTATTTTGTTTGTTTCCACCCTATCATACTGCGTTTGAGAATAGAAGAATAGAAAGTCGAGTTCAATACGAATTCTGCAGATTACATCCACTGGCGTCGCATCTGTAGGCTTTTTTCTGTCTTTTAGCTTACCATTATTAAAATAAAAAGTAAAAGTTCAACACACATACGTATATTGTTTCTATATAATTAATGGTGACAATATGAAATAACTACAGAAAGACACAGAATAATGATTCATTACAGCCAATCTATGTTACGTATGGTGAGTGTAGAGATCCGGAGACGAGATAAGGTAAAACGAAGCATTCCTTCTTAGTATTCAGAGGTGACAATGCATCTGCGTTTTGATTCCGTATTGAGGATAAATGTATACGTCTATGGACCACAGCATCCACCATTACCATCATGTGGACTGTGTGCTCGTTTGTCACCCTTATTCTATAAGAAAAATCGAAAATCTTTTATTGTTTTGAGATGTTTTTGGGAAGATAATGCTACCTATCCCCTGTTTCACTTCCCTCTGTAGCCTTTTATAAAACTCACAGGATAATATAAGGTAGTGGATTACCTTTATCGCCACTACTCTGCTAAAACTATGGTATGTGCTAATGGATTTTTATACTGTAAATATTTGTGTGTCGTTATTAAACATACAATACGTCTCAATACAAAAAGACACAAACACACACAACTCTCAAACACAATATCTAAAAGGCATTAAGTTTTGCTGTATTTGTATTGTACTACTCAGGGTGGAAGACGCTGACGGCTGTAACACAGTTTATACTAGTATGGCCGTTAACGTTAAAACTTTGAAATGCAATTTTGTAACTTTAAATAGATATAATACATAAGTGTTACCTGTTAATTGAGAGTCAAATAAATTATTATTATGTGTGGGGTATCTATATAGTTTTCTCATCTGGTTGGGTTCTATAAATATATAATTATAAATGAAAATGAAAAGATAAATATACATAAATATCAATAATATAAAATAAATATAAAAGTACATAAATAAATAAAAGCCCAACCAGATGGAGGCCCTCGGCAGGGGAGACCAAACGGCCGAGGGTTAGGGAAAGGGGAAAGAAACCGGCGGACGATGCGGGCGGTATCGAGGAGCACCGCCTTCTGCATTTGAACCTGAAGCGGTCCGCCACGTAGTCCCAGCCGCCTCAGATGACCCGAGAGGCTGACTGGGATTAGCCCGTCTGCAGTGACGACTACAGGAATAATTTCGGTCGGCAGACCACCCCACATGTCGGTCACCTCGTGAGCCAGGTCCAGATATTTTGTTTGCTTGTCTGTTTCGGCTTTCACGAGGTTCTCGTCATACGGAATGGTAATGTCGACCAAAAATATCCTTGACTGTGCCCGGTCCATCAGCACAATATTAGGCTTATTCGCAAGAATAGTCCTGTCTGTGATGATGGCCCGGTCCCAATAGAGCCTGGCGCGATCATTTTCGAGCACGGCTTCCGGCAAGTACTTGTAATACGGCAGTTTCCGATCCACGAGACCGTATTTCAGAGCGAGCTCCTGGTGTAGAATTCTGGCTACTAGGTTGTGCCTGTGCAAGTACTCAGAATTAGAAAGCGCCGAACAACCGGAGATGACATGCCTAAGTGACTCACCGGGATGGCGACAAGCTCGACAGATGTCGACGGTGCCATCCTTTAGGATGTATCTCCGATAGTTGTTGGTCTTAATAACCTGATCCTGTATTGCACAGACAAAACCCTCGGTTTCCCCCGAAGAGATCACCAAAGCGTAGCCAGTGGAGGGAGGCTACTGTGTCTACGAAAGGCTCATGTAGAGTCTTGTAGAACCTCCCGTGGAGCTCCTTCTCCTTCCATACGGTCTCCCGGTCGGAAATGCTCTGCACTGCCGGGTCTTGCCATTGCTCGTTGGCTAAGGATAGAGGGGTAAGTCCTTTATCACAAGAAATGACGTCCTTATAGAATGGATCATCAGATCTCGCCAGGAAGTAATCACGGAGGCTGCACACTTCGCGATTATGCATGGTGAGCGCGCTCAAGGAGCCACGACCACCATGCTTCCGCGACAAGTACAGCCTCATTACCGACGATCTCGGATGATGCATCCTATGGGACGTCATGGTAGTGCGGACTTTTCTATCTAGGGCGTTAAGTTCAGTCTGAGTCCACCTGAGTATGCCAAAGGTATACATGAGGACAGGCATGACCCAGCCGTTATATGCGTGTGCCTTATTCACACCGGACAAAAGGCTGTTAAGCACTTTGGTCAAGCGTGCATAAAATACGTCGCAAACTGACTGTTTCATACCAGTCTCATCGATACCGATGTTTTGTGACATACCCAGGTATCGGTATGTTTCAGCCTCGGAAAGGGTCCTTAAGTTGACGGGCATAGATAAGTCTACGCCCTCAGAGTTAGCAACCCCTCCCCTTTCAACATGGAGGACCGCACACTTATTCGTCCCAAGCTCCATTCCAATGGAATTGCTAAATTCACAAGTGATGTTTAGCAATTCCATAAGATGGGAGCGACTGAGGCGAATAACTTGAGGTCATCCATATAGAAAATGTGGATCACTTTTGTCCCTTCTTTCCGTAGCCCCTCCCCTGAAATCCCCTCCCGGAGCCCTCCAGTAAGGTACTGAGAGGGTTCAGAGAGAGGCAGAACCAGATTGGACTCAGACAATCGCCCTGGAAGATACCCCTTCTTATCCTTATGTGGTTCTCCGCAGCCATCATCCGCTCGCCCAGATGACAAAGGATCGTACTCCACTGCCCCATACACTGCTCGAGGAAGTCTCTAACTGTACAGTCTATCTTGTACAGCTCGAGGACTCTCTTTAGCCATGTATGGGGCACCGAGTCGAATGCCTTTCTGTAGTCTATCCAGGCGGCGGAGAAGTTCCGACGGTTGCGTTTCACCACTTTGCCAATGACCGCGTCAATGAGTGGTTCCTTGGTTCCACGACCACCGCCCCGACATCCATTTTGAGCGCGCGACATCACCTGATTTGAGTCCAGGTGACAAGTGATTCTCGCGCTCAAAATGGATGTTAGTGTCTTGTATATGGTCGGTAGACACGTGATGGGGCGGTATTTGCTCGGGTCTGTGGTACCCTGGTCTTTAGCAACCAAATGAGTGATGCTAGTAGTGAAGAAGCTTGGGAGCGACTTCTGGTTGAGAGCCTCTTGAACTATCGGGCGAGCACAGAGTTACACACCATGAACCCCTTCAGCCAGTAGTGATGCAGCCCGTCAAGCCCCGGACTTTTCCAGTTCGGGGCCCTACGGACCCCCTCAGCTACGTCATCCGGCGTTATGATGACGGGGTCCATGGGCGTAATACGCGCACACTGACTCGCCACAACTTCCGTCCAAGGCCCCTCGCTGTGGTTTACGGGCTCTGACCACAGGCCGCGCCAGAATGCTACAGTGTCGGCCTGATTCGGTGCTGGACCCGTTCCATTTACCATTGGTCGCTACATTGATTCATAGAGCCTCTTCTGATCACTCTGGAAGAGACGATTTTGGTTGAACCGTGTCGACCTCTCGGTATATCGCCGAATCCGCTTTCCCCAAGCAGCGATTCTCTGCTTCAGATTATCTATGCGCTCCGTCAGTTTTTACGTTATATCCGGCTGGGACAAACTGACATTTGTCCCAGCAAACGCCATCCTGACGGTGCGCACAATTCTTGGCCTGTTGTTGCCTGATCTGAAGCATATCAGTCTGCAGATGAGAGCTCTAGCCTTTGCGATACGTTCCTCAATTCTTCTTCTCCATGCTGGGATAGCGCTACTATGGCCAGTAGCGCGTCCAGCCGTGGAAACCTTGGCGCCTATGATACGGCAGACTGCTAGCGCGGCGCCAAAAAGAATTGAATCCGTCTCGCAAAGGTCCCGGCGCTTCTTCAAATAGGTCACCAGCATTGGGTTCAGAGCCCTCACAACAGCCCGATTCCGCTTGCTTAGGGCTATGCGGGGGAAGTCGCGGTCGATTTTCGAGAGGCGTACTGCGCGTTTCCACAATCGCCTCTTCCAATGTACTCCTCATATGCTCTAATTCCAGTTCCTGGGTGACTGTTCCATCATCGCTTGAATCAACCACAACTGGGGTATTCACGGCGGCATCCACGTTTGCGGGTTGCTCTACCATTTGTGGCGCCGCATCCTCAGCCGTAGCATTCTCATCCGACGAGGGAACAGCCTCACGTCGTAGCCGTTCGAGTTCGGCGACATCAAATATATTTGAGCGCAAGATATACCGAACTCGGTCTGCCAGGTTTTGCTCTGTGACGGTTAAAGATTGCTCCAACTCAGCAAAAAGACGATGCATCCTAGCCCGATACGCCAAACATCCAGTTTCTCCCCCTTTCGCCCTAAAATACGCCCGCAATACGTTGCTGTTCATCTGGGTTGTCCAACGCATGCGGCGTACTCCACCAGAGGCGGGTGCCGATTGCTGGGCCCGCGAAACCCTGCCGACACCAAGCCAGCTGGTGGGGATGATGGATGCGAGGGGCTGCTGGGTGGTCGTGCAGCACCTCGCGCTCGGCTGGCGGTTCGCATGCTGCCGCGTCCAGCGCCAGCTCCAGACGCGCCCTGGCGACCTCCAGGCAGCGGCCCCTTGCGCGTTCTATTTAATTCCATCATCCATTTTTAGGGCGTCATTTAGCGGGAGACGCCCAGACCCGGCGCCGTTTCATGTTGAGGCCATGTGCACAAGCGGGCCTTTGCACCTTCAATTTTTGCCGAGGCACGGCACTAACACCTCTTGGCAAGGTGCTGACTGACTGCGCTGACGTAGCGGTTTTGTCACATAACCGTTACGTCAGCGGGCGATGGGGTCGTCACTTCCCTACGCCTTTTTATTATTATTTTTATTATTATTATTATTAAGTCCTCTCTTTGTATATTTTTGTCACAATTTTATTAAAGCACTTTCACATCTGTTTGTCTGTTTGTGTATTGATTGTTCAGTACAAATTATGCGACTTCATTTAAAAATAACTCCTAATGACTTAGATAATTTAAACTGGATGATGGGTAATAGAGCTGTAAATAATTACTTGAATATTTTTAATATTATACGATGGAGTGACGACCTGGTAAGATATGCAGGAAGTCTTAGGCTAGAGATGAAGAAGAGAAGAGTGCTTAGGATAGTGCTTTGTGGCATTCCTTTGGGGAGGATGTTCTCATGTTACAACGAAAAGTGCAAATATTGCCACTTATGATCTACGGAACTTATGAGATAGGGTCCTTCACTAATGGCCATGGAAAGCTGGAATATAGTTTTCCGCAGTCTGGTTCATATAGTTACCTAAATCGACAGATCTTTAGCAGAAGCAGCGTCATACTTCGTGTTTAGCGGTACGTGATGTGATACAATATAGATGTTGGTGGTGATAGTTGTGAAATTAATATAATAATAATTATAATAATATAATAATTTATTTTATTTTTATAAACTGTACAAAATATTCCAATAAGTCTTAACTTAAAAATTGTCTATAATAACAGGCACCTGAACTAGGATTAACCTGTATCGCAGGTGTACGTGCTAAAAGATACATTAAGAAATATTTTCTGTTTCTTATATAAAATTAATAACGTCCTTTATTAATTTACTTATGATATAAATTAACTTAAAACAATCAGCAACTTCTCCGTATCATCGTATGACAAATTTTGTAACCATCTTCGAATTACCTTTTTTACAGTCTGCCATTTTTAATGGATATATGTACAAAATTGCATTGACTTGATTATACAAAAAAGAGGCGAGGAATGTAAAAAATATGAATGAAATAATGCCTTATTCTAATGTTAGTTTCAATTACTTTATCTTTGCGTCTTTTATCAATGACCTCTCTTCTGTAGGGCAATTGAAATAAATAAATAAATAAATATATATATATATATATATATATTATTCATTATAAGTTCTTATCAGTCGGCATTAAAACGTTGCTTGCTAGAAATATTGACACGGATTATAATAATTTGTGTGTGGATATCATGTTTTTAATTACTTTTATTATATTCGTTTGTGTAGTTTTACTTGCTACAACTCTATATATAAATAAAAATAAAAATAACTGGATAAAAGAAATATTCCTGAAGTGCATGTAGTCTCTTAGATATTTGTAAGAGATAATAAATAACTTTCTGAAATTTACAAAGACGTATATGATGAACGTCATACAGCAGATACATTATCCTTCTGTAGGATGTTGATGTAGACTTCTTCTTGGATCCAAACCAGCATTAATACTAAGAAATTTAAAAGATATACAAGCTGTATTCCTTGATAATTTATTCGAAGCTGTAATGATCTACTTGCTGATAATGTATTATTTATGGAAGAATATAAGCGATGGAGGATAGTTAGATAAAAACTATCTCCTGTATTTATTTCGAAATTATATCACAAATCAATGTACAAAAGACTTTATTAAATTCATAGAATACACTGAATAAGCAAGAGATAGACCCCTTAATGTATTGTACAATTACACGACTTCCTCCACTGGCGCAGCAGTTATTAGTACCGACACTAATATCAAAAACACTATGGATTCTGCGTTTCTGAAAATTTCAGGAAATTGCACTGATTAATAAGTTGAAGTTTATTCTTTCTCATGCATTTCTAACTGTGCTGATGCGTATTAAATATAAAATATTTTTATAGAGGTGTCTATGACTCACAGTATCCACTTACCATCAAGGGAACTGTGCTCGTTTTTCACCCTTACTATAAAAAAAATATTAACACAACTTTTCAAAACAGGACCCCTTTAGGCCGGAAACAATTGCACTTCTGTATGAAAAGTGTAAAAAGCTGTATGATTATAATTGCAGGCCGATTGACGATCGCAGTACCAGATGACACGCACCTTTGACGCTCTTGCTCGAAGATGGTCTTAGTATTTTACATCTAGCGCAAATGACATCATATGCCGCCGTCCATTTCAATCCATTTACAGTAACATCTCATTAGAGGCCCTTTATATTTTTTTCTATTAATTTAAAAAAAAACTGATTATCTTATAATAAAATCATTTAATTATATTATTTTACGTGTACAAAAATTAATTTGAGAAAGCGCTGGTTATTTGTGCAATCAGTTTACATTTAAAAATAAATGATTAAAAGTAATTTTTACTTTTTCAATTACAATGTCTCAATACAACTACAAAAAAATCAAATCATATAAAAGATTGTTCAGCGATTTGTCTTTAGTATATATTACTAAGTGGCGGTGTAGGAATATCGTCCCTTTGGTGTCGTAGCAGGTGGCAGAGGGAAAAAAACTAGGGGATGGGCAGCAGTGTCTTCCTTATAAAAACTAAAAAATTAGTTGCCACAGTTGCCCCTCTGACATCTGTGGCAGCTATTTTTATAATCCAAAATCCCCCTATATGGCAATATTTGAAGAAGACCTTTGTGCAGTAGTTTTTTGTAGGCTATAATAGATAGATGTCATATTGTTATTAGTTATTTTTAACATTCCATCCAGACTGTGTACGAAAAATTTATGCCCAAATTCGATGAAACAATACGTGAACACTATGTATATTGTTAGTAGATATCAAAACTAAATAATTCTGGGAGAATTCTGATTACAATTGTTAGCGATAAGTTTTTTCAATGCTAGAAGGATTTGAGGAAAACCTGTTTGTCAATATGCATTTTTTTATTATTATAAATTTTATAAAATCCGATAAATTTGGCTTACTATTTTCATATTTCTCAAACCATATTTCTGAGTGTAAATCAGTTCTTCAGATTTATTTTTATTAGCAAGTATGTAGAGTGGGACTTAAACTCCAGCAGCGCTGATTTCCAGTACCTACAACCAGTTTTGCTTCAACTAGCAAGAAGAAGAAAAAAGAGTGTAATCGAAATTTGTCTTTTTTAAATATTTCACAACAAATACACTTCAGAACACTTTAACGTTTTGGCCTGACGTGAAGCTCCGACGCTCCGGAAAGTCTGTGGACATGTTCAAGATCGTCCCCACCATTACATCAGATTTGATAAACCACAAATCCTCGCAAACGAACACCAATTTCCTACCAAGATTCCTACCAAGGATGATACGCGAGGCTATTAAAATTAAAAAAACATCCTAATTTCAATAGAAAAGATGGATGGGTGCTGCCATCTGCTTGGGATCCTATAATTATTAAATACAACTCTCGCTCCAACCCAAAATTAAACCCAAACCCAAGCATACCACTGCAAGACTTCAATATACTGTAAGCTCGTTTTGCGTAGATCGGAGCGAAAAATTAATATTAAAAAACTGAAAAACTGAAGGAAACCGAGCTAAGTATGATATTAGAACGTCAAACATCTCAGCCCCCCCCGTGACCATGGGTGCTGTAAAGCACCCGAAACATCAGGAATTAAAAATAAGTAAAATTAGTTAATTAAACGCGATAAAACCCGTAAATTTAGTTTTATTCAACAATAATATAGCTGAACCGTGACTCTACAAAGTATATCTGTGTCAGTATTCAATAATTTTATACTTATTACACACTGTACAATTAATAATGCCACACAATAGCTGCGGTTACGGCTAGCACGTTCAATCAAGTATAATCTCCAAGTAATACATAAAATGAAAGAAGTAGGTCACAGTAATATGAATGTACATAATAAAAAAAAACATAGTTCCGTTATATGTACGAGAATCGTACAACAAAATATTCGTAAGATAAATGGCATTTGACAAAAGTTATTAAAAATTACTAATACCCGCTTAATGAAATAAAATGATGTGTCATTCGTAGTTCGAAGATCACCTTCCGTCTCCCCTTCATTGCATGCACTATCTCCGGCACCACTAATCCCAGAACCATTACTCGAACGCCCTGCAGTTGGAAACACACAGCACCGTCGATAATACGACTCGTGTTTCGCCTCTACATAAATCATCCTCAAGTGAAAAAGACTCTAACTAACTTTTATAAAATGGATTTTCGCAAAGTCACACCTGATTCTATTAAATGGTTTTGATTAAGCCCCAGCTTCTCATTATATATCCAGGCGAATCCGGATAAGAATCCACGCGAATAGTTTTAAATCTAATGTTAAACCACGTTGTCGACTGGTATGCCTCTCAAGTGACATGATTTTGTATGTAGAATTCTAACGGTATGGATGTTCCCACACTTCGCATAAGTATGAATCTGATTTCCTTTAAACTTCCTCCTATACACCGTATCACTTCACTGTTGATTTGTAGCGTATGAATAATTCATTTGCAGTACGTTTGAGGCAGTAACTGATATTATACGAGAATACACAAGGATCTGCGACACA